CATTTCTTTGTGCGTTTAGTTTGTCTACCCTTAATACAATCTACACACACATCAAAATCAGTAAAATTTAGATTCAGAAGAATCACATCCTTTACTAATTTTCCTAACATTTCACTAGATATTGACCTAGTCTTTTATGCCAAAGATAAATTTTCTATTAATTGAGCTACGCTTAATTCTAACATTATGATACAAGATCAAAAGGATTTTAATAAATAAACCATCAAATTTGAATTTACAAAAATAATCAACAATAATGCCATAACTCACAAATTATAATTTCTTAAATAAATATCATTACCAAATTTAAATGAAAAACTATTAACATAAAGTTTTTGAAATAAAGTCAAATTATGGGAAATTGAATAAACATAAAAATTTTAAAACAATTTAAATAAAATCCATTGTCTAACATTAAACATAGTGTCACAATGGTTTCAACAATTTTTTTTCCCAATTATTATAAATAAGAAATTCTTATTTGAATTTGTGGTTTAGGCCATAAATAATTCTTGCATCTATTAGAAACATAAATATTAGTACTTAAGTCAACCGATCATGTATTAAAAAGAATTTCAACAAGTAATTCGCAATATACAAAAGCCAAAAGTGTACTTTTCTTTTTCGAATCATTCTTTATATGTCATGTAATCTTTCTAAAAGTGTTCAATACATTAATGACACTTTTTCATTATTACATTACTTTCTTTTAGTAGATTGACCTAAATCTTTTAATTTTGGGTGTTGCTCACTTATTACCTTTTCTGACTTATTCCCAAATTTCTTTCTAACTTCTTGAGTCGTCAGATGAACATAATGATTACCTTGCTACTTAAGTTTTGTCTCCTCATAAATTAACATAATAGTCAATTAAATCACTTTCCACTTGTCTTAATAATATTAATTCGAAATAACCCATACTGAATAGATAAGAAATTTAGAATAAATTGAATAAGAAAATTCCCATTCACAATCATCCATAAGGTTCTCAATTTTGCAGCAACATTAATCATCTAAAAATACGATCATACATGGTACGAGTACAACAAAAAATCCATAGTAGTTATATCAATTAATAATTTTCGTTTTAGATATTTATCTACAACACGAAAACATTCTTATAATCAAATATTCCTTAGCACTATCACTATGAGGAACAATTATTCGCATAACCATAATGCTTAATCTGTTCGATCTCTCCCAAGCTTTATGGAGAATCTTTTCTTCCTCACTGTTTTTATCAGTAATAATGGTAAGTTTCTCAATTTAAAATGCTAAATCAAGATTTAACATATCTAAATTTTGAACTCAACTTACTCATTCCATTATGAGAAGTTAGTTATATTTAGAATCAGAACAGAAGTAGCATGCGCATTAAGGGATGTAATAAAACAAACATAATAAGATAAAATCTTAACAACAATAATGCTTTGAGTTAACAACACGTATGTATAACTTAAAAATATAAATACAATGTATAACTATAGTACCCCTTTGGGTGGCAACTATAAAATACTAATAATGATGCTTATATGTATTTATATGTATACCTTTATTGGTGATGCATTATTTAATTAAACAAATAAGTTACCTTTGGATATCCTATATTTACCTAATAAAAAAAAAATGCATACGACCCTTTAATTTTTATTTAATCACTTGAAGATCAATTCCCTTTGAGAAATTATTTCTCATAATTAAATAAAATCAATATTCATGAATATCACAAAAAATTATAAGCATCATAATTCATGAAATATTGCAATTATGTTTACTACTAAAATTAATATTCATCAACTATTATGGTTAGGCCACTTTGGTAACTACCAACCTTTACATAATATGAATATTAAATTAGATAGTAACTAATTTATGATTAATTATGTCTATTACAAAAATTAATATTTATCAATCATTATGATTGAGCCACTTTAGTAGCTACCAATCTTCACATAATATGAATATTAAATTAGACAGTAATTAATTCATCTTTAAGTTATATTTACTACTAAAATTAATATTCATCGACCATTATGGTTAGGCCACTTTGGTAGCTACTAACCCACACATAATATGAATATTAAATTAACTAGTAATTAATTAATTATTAATTTACCCATTTAACATTATACGCACATACTCATAATTGTCGATTAAAGTTTAAGCAACTTCGATCTCAAAAACTTAATAGTCCGAAATTTCATAAAAAATATCTTTTTATTTTATATACATAATAAAATATATTATTTTATTTTCGGACTTAAAGATCATTATTGAATCAATTTAAAATTGATTTTACAATATGTATGTATGTTTGGGTACGAAACAACAAGTTATTTGCATGTCTAATTTATTAGATTAAATTTCTAAACTCACAAATTATTCTAGAAATTCAAATTCCTAAAATAAATAAATCAATACATATATTTTATGTATTCAATAACTTTAATTTTAATTTATTTTAAATTAAAATCAGAATCTTCAAATCATTGGACAAATACTTATAACAATAATTTAAATCTCTTTAATAAAATAAAATACACAAACTTTATGTATTTATTAATTTTTAAATAATAATAATAATGAATTTTTGTAATCCTTTCACAACTGACTGTTTCTATAAAACAATAGCAAGACAAATGCTATTATTATTATTATAATGTTCTTCATTAGTTATGCACGAAAATCAGTAACCTAAAGCATTGAAATTGTTTGTCTTACACACATTCTGCATACGTTTGTACTATTACACATATGTAAACTATGTATCAGTAACCAACTTTCATAATTTAATTTTGGCTCGGAAATTGAGGTACCCAAATCCAAAAATCACACGGACTGATCTAAACATACGATTCTAAAAGAATGGATTATACAATCATTTAATTTTAAAATTATACATATTATTTATGCAACTTTAATGAAAAATAATGAGTTCCTAAACCACTAGCTCTGATACCACATGTAAACTATAATAATTCGTGTTAAGCCATTAATCACAAATTTACATGAATCCCATATCTTAGAACTTCATGATTTTCACATATCTATAATGCATAAATAAATACTAGTTAGATATAAATACCTCAATTCACGATATCAATTCTTGTTGAGATTAAGTCCAACGTCCAGATCCTTTGGCCACGAATTAATCTGCAACTCTGATCAACAGGCAAGGGTGGAAACTGGTTTCTCTCTCTTGGCCTTTTGCACACATAAAACTTTTACGTGTTGTTTCATTAATTGTACATAATTGATGGAGTATATGCACTTTTATAAAGGCAGAGAGGACCAGTTTTCCTTATAGTAACATAATTTTACTTTCCATCAAAGTAAAGAATAAGAAAAGAAAACACTTCTCCAATAAGTAATTACCAAAAAAGTAATTATAAGTTGACCAAAAATAAATAATATTAATTGATATCTATTTACTTACCCACCAAGTAATATGTCACATGTCCAAATCATGTGGGCCACAATTAAATAAATAATCTTACAACCACCACGTAGACGTCCATCTTGGAGAAGAGATTGACGTTTTTGAGGTCGTCGGCGCAGATGATTGTGAGGTTTAAACGACGGTATTCCATGTTCAACAACTGAATGACAGACAATGATATTATTAGGCTATTAGGCTTTCTACGTGTGTGTAATGTGTATACAAGGCTATATAGAGAGAGAGTGGGAAGAGAAGCAACGAGGAAGGAGCAGTTTTCCAATTCTACTTCAACACTGGTAGTCTACCACTAATGTGATTCCTTCAACGTGTTGTAAAAAAGATGTGTTATCCATATTTAAATAGCAAGTGAATGTTTTCTTAATATAAAGATGGCGGCCCAAGTGCAACAAACATTCAAAATGTGACCAATTTTTTTTTTTTTTTTTAAATCCCAAGATGCCCTCCTTTTATTTTATTTTTTTTCTCTTATCCTTTCTCTCTATTGGTCTGTATACTGTTTTGCACTGATCAAGATGGGAACTTCTGTGCTGGACTAAGTCCAGAAATTGATCTGATGGGCCATCAACGCTGCTCAACTCATCCTTTTCCTCCTTCGAACACCGACTCCGACACCTATATGATAATGATGATACCGATGATGATGAGGGAACGAATAGGAAACGAAGGGTGTACTTTCATATTGTTTAGTATTGTAGTTATTATTATTATAAGAGATTTTGATTTTATATCGGTTACAAATGGGTTTATTTTTATATTGCTAACAAATGATCTCATTTTACAGTTATTCACAATAGGGTTTGATTTTCATGTATAATATCTCATATTAGTTCATTGTTTGGAGAGAGATTGACATATATGGAAGTCAACGGAAATAATGGACGCCGGCGAGCTTTGTCCAGCACAGAAATTCCATTTTGATCTGTGCAGAGCAGTTTACAGACGAACAGAGACAACGGATAAGAGAAAAAAACATAAAATAAAAGAGGGCATTTTGGGATTTTTAAAAAAAAAAAGGCCAAAATGGACTATTAGGAAGCAATTTGCCCCAAAACAAACACTAGGGAGTTTTGACAATAGGAGCTTTTTTGCACATTTTGAATCTAAGAGAGGAGTTTCTTACCACTTGAGCCTAAAAAGATTAAATACATAAAGTTAGATGGTGATTGGAAACTGAAGCAAGGAAATCTTTTCATTTACAATAAAAAATGATAAACTTGAGAAAGTTTTCACTGTAAAACTTTTTGACAAATTTAGAGAAATAAATAAATCGGTTAGTTCACGTAGTTTTTACAATTTACCTTCAAACTGTTAAAAAAAATTACACAAATTTATTACTTTTCCTTCTCTCTTCAACATTTTTAATAAGATGGCAGGAAGACATCTCACCCAAAAACATTTATAACTTCATCCTTGCATTTGTTTGGTTAGAAGTTAGAACATAATCTAAAAGGTACGTGTGCGCGCGCGCGCGTGAAAGAGAGAATCACTTACTTTCAGCGATGATGACAAATAATAACATAAAGACTAAAAAACATAAATATCGTGCAATGTCCCCACTAGATAAAAGGTCTAAACGAAAGCACATAGAAACCAAAAAAAAAAAAAAAGACACACAAGTGAAACATAAGCAACTTAATCACTATTACTTTCATCAGTACATCATTTGGTGTTATTCCCGCTACGAAGTACATATTTTGAGGACATTTTGTTCACCACCCTCTCCATTCGTGTGTCTCTCCATTCGTGTGTTCTCTCTCCTCCACCCCCAATGGGTCCAATTCGGCCCTTACTTTTAGAGAGAGAAAGTGCTCTCTTAAAAGCCGCCACTGAATGCAAAATGCACCATCTTCAGAAAAATTTGACCATCAGATTTTGGTACCATCATTCCCTTTTAAAAGTACCCTCAGAGAGGATGGTAGGGCACATACCCTAAAATGTTCTTCACATTGGTCACAACGTCATTGCACCTACTCAGAAGGTTTAGCATCTGCTGTGCAATGTCAACGTTGGTCGCACTAGGCAACGCAGCTGTTGGGGCGCTAACCGTGTTAAGATTGTGAGGTATTCTGGGTGCTACTGCTACGTCAGTATAATGCATATTATTTGGGGCTTTGGAATATTGAGCATTAGGAAGAGGAAGTATAGGCAATGGCAGTGGAAGAATGACCTTTTGAAAATTCTTACTATTAAAATCCATTGCAAGAGTAGTAGAAGAAGATGCACCACCATCAGCAAAACTAGTAGCATTGTTGATGAAGTTGATGTTCTTATTAGAAACCATCAATTGCTCACCACCCCTACTACTTTCTTCCCCACCCAACATGAATTTTACACGAGGGGTCCCTCTACCGCCACCATTACCACCTGGGGCTGGAGCCGTCTCATCACCAGAAGGTTTCTTCAGGCACGATTTCAGCTGGACTGCCGTCTGCTGTTGTAGTCGCTGTTGTGCAGGTGTTACTGGCAGTTTTTGTTCAACTGCAGAATCCCTCAACTGTGGTGTCTCACCGGAAGTGTCTTCTTTTAGGACCTTGCTCGGTTCCGACTCAGATGCAGAAGCACCCATTTCCCGGATATGACATCTCAAGCTCACGTTGCCGAATAAAGAACTGCCTCCTGAAAGATATTTGTGTGCAGCCTGTGCATCATGCTTGTACAGGAAGACGACACGGCACGTGTAGGACTTCCAGAAAACCCGAGTCCCTGAATGATCTAAGGGTCCAAAACGAGCAAGCCTTGCCTTCAGCTCAGAACCAGATGGAAGGTTTGTTCCCGGAGGGAACTTCATCACCAGCATTGTGGGCTCGGGGGTCTTTACTGGAGGCTCTATTTTCTTGGTAGAGTCAATTCTGACTTGTTTGGGGGGTGCTGGAGAAACTGTTTCTTTAAAATCTCCCCGTGGAGCATCTGGAGTCTTCTGAACAGCTTTCTTTTCTGCAGCAAGTGTTTTCAGATCAGTAATTTTCTTTAACCTCTTTGCAGCAATTTCTTCTTGACGATCGGATGGGCCACGTTTCCGCCCACCTTTTGTTGGATCATCAGGCCGGACGGGAGGTTTTCGAGGTTTTAGAGCTGAAGGATCTCTAATACTCTCACCCTGAAAATTGTCAGGGACAGCAGTATCAGATGGATACTTCACAGTGCAAGCTTCATTCAACTCTGCCTCAGTTGCTGTAGAAAGGGCCAAACTCTTCTGGTAAACAAGGGACCGAAATTTCAAAAATACATCCTTCGCTATTGCAGGACTGTTACGCTCCACACCATGGAAGGGATTGAGAGCGAGAGAATGTAAATCACTTAGTAATTGTGGAAGCTCAAGCTCAATGTTTCCTGTCCCAACAGAATCAGGCAACAACAAACTATCAGCCCCATGAACTTTTTTCTGATGGTGCACCTGAAAATCCTCTCTGAGGGGCCAACCAACTTGATCAGATTTTCCTACTACTTTTCCCAAAAGTGCAGCACTATTTCCAGTAGTCATACGCTTACGGTCAGAGCTCATTCCCGGGCCCAACTCTTTCTTTCTCTTCTTCTTCTTCTCTCCTGAGGCAGATTTCTCAGCATTTAATTCCCCTAGAGGACGTTTAAGAACCTTGACCTTCTTTGCCCCCTTCCCACCATCCTGAACTCTTTCCCGTCCATGCAACTGTTCCACTGTAGGTGGTAGACTTGAAGATTGCTGAAAACCTTCAACCAACTTAATCTTTGAAGCACTCTGGGCATCTTGTTTGAAATCCATCATCACCTCACCTTCTGGCTCAAAAATGTGACGCACGTTTTCTACTACACCTGGGAATACCCCTTTTCCTTGCAAACTGGAAGCACCCACAGATGCAGGACCAGTTGATACATTAGATCCAATGCTCTCTATGAGCTGAATGCCTTTCCCTTTTTCAGGAGAAGACTTTTCTTCAAAGAGGTAACTGTTGTAGTCTGGATTCTGACCTACAGGAAAATTAGGAGCATGATTATCAGCAAACTCTACCTTATTTGCATTTATCTGAGAGCTGCTAAATTTTGCAACAGCAGATTTCTCCTCTAAAGTTACAGCTTCTTTACCAGTTACATCCAGACTTGGAGCTGAAGCGCCATCCCTGCCAATAGTCACACTTCTTTCGTGTTTGATTGGAGTCTGAGGCTTTGTAGAAACTGCTGGGGCTCTCTTCTGCAACACGTAATCCCCAGCAGCTAACGCTGAAGATCCCTCCACATAAGCTGTCTGGGAAGAGGAACTAAGTTGCCCTAGGTGGACTTGGTGTCTTCTCAACTCATCCTGCTCATCTCTTCGTTTAAAAAGGTATCTGTCTTTCTTTGTTTGGTCCTTTGCTTTATTTAGTTTTGTGGAATTTTTCTTCTTACCTAAAGATTCTGCAATCACCAGTCGGCCACTCAATGGAGCTGGCAAAATGACAAAGCCATATTATGAGAAAGACGCAGTGATCATAAATGAGGTGAAATCAAGTTCTGAGAGAACATGCAATGCATGTGAGATTCAAGAAATAAAACTCAAGTTTGAATGCATCAATAACAACAATTCAGCAGGAGACATGCCCAGAAAACTTGGCATTATTATAATTATTATCATGAGAGAGAGTTTTTAACTTAATATTTTTTTCAGTACAAGAAAACAAACAAATGGATGAGGAAAGCTTAAGACTTGAGATTAACTAAATTACAAATGTAGCAACCAAACTTCGGCAGCAAGTAGTTGGGGAAGAATGCTGGGAAATTCATCATGTAATAGCCGCGCAGAGATTAAAAAATAAGGAAAAAAAAAAAAAATTTAAAAATAGAAAGAAAAAAAAATCTCAATCAATCTTGGCCTAGCAAAGACTACCACAGCTCATCATTAGCAATCTCGAGGTTGTACCATACTATCAGCACTGGGAAAAAATATGACCACATGAAGTTCAGAGTACTAAAAATCTTACACGATCTCTGTTACACCACTTTATTAATAAACCCTGGACACATCTAACTATCAATGATTATGAGCCAAACAGTTGTATTAAGTAAAACACGTCCATATGTGCCTTACACTAGTTTTCAGTCTTTTTGACTTGCAAATCTCACCCACTATCTTTTCTTTCAGATGTGCAACAAGACAAGTTTACAATAAATCTCTTTCAGAACCCAATAACTTTTGCTTCACATTTTATCCCAAGTTTGATGTCATAACATGTAATGCTATCTCAAATATGCATCTTGACCACAAGGCTTTTGACTTTTGAGAAAAAGCCAATGTTTGGTCAATGACAAATTGAAAGAAGTTTGGGACCTAAAGGAACTTTTTACAAATCTAGATTGTTCGCAGAATCTCATATGTTGCTTTCAAATACTTGAATTAATATCAGTTTCGAAGAATTAATCACTAATATTAGTCAGACAGCACCAATTTCTTATAAACATACCAAAGAGAAGATTACAGGACATTCTAACATGGCATAGTTGTTCAAATTGACAGATTAATTGTTCTCATTTTTAGGCCCAAACCAGCTTATAGCCTGAATCACCAATTTACTCTGAATTAGATAGCTCAAACTATTGTAAAATAAGAAAAGATCACCAAAAAATTTAGCTTATCCAAATTAAAATGATTAAGAATGAACAATACAAATTTATCTTATGAATTTGCAAGTGTTTCGCAGTTTCTTTATCCTTCAAATGATAGGCAGCCAAGTGTATGATTTCTTCTTCGTGGAATGGTAGGCAACCATTTGTAGCATTTATTGTAAACAGTAAGGACTAGAGGACAAGCAGTACAAAATAAAAATTACAAAGATGAACAAATAGGAATTGAACCTACACCTCGAGCTTCATTCCATTTTTTCTAAATTTATTATTAATGTACCACAGTTACAAAGCTATCCGAACAAGTTTTTAAGAAAATATCGCATCCCAAAAGTATACATTTGCAAATACATTGTATATGTGCTTGTTATTTTTACATATTTACATAGAAGGCTTGCTCTCTTGGAATTTCTTAAGTTAATCCAATCATGTATAAAAATTAGAACGATATCCCTTCGAAAATTATAATGCAAGTATCAATTTCTTGGCTCGTATCAATTTATAAAATCATTTAAATATTTTGAATACATTATTATCTTATACAATGAATCCCTAGAATTTAACCCAAAAAAAAAAAAAAGGACCTTAGCCCTGCATCTGGCCTATGTGGATTGGTTACTCTAGGACTTAAACCAACATTCTCACAATTGACTCAAGTTTTTACCATATACACCAAAAACTGATCCCTAAAATATGTTAAAAAGTGAAAATATTATATACACACACAAACACATATATATTGGTATATAAATGAACAGTTGCGTCGCTCCCAAGCTAAGCGAATTCTAGATGTTTATCACTCTCTCATTATGCTCCAGCACTCTCAATCTGTTGTTTCTTTATCTATAGTTTTTAATTAATGATATCCATCTTCTAAACAAATCAACCAAGTTCAATCTCACAACCCAAAATTGTAATACCAGATGATAGTAGGACAGCTCATGGATTACAAAGCTGGCAGTTTTCCTACCACCGGTGAAAAGGAGAGCTAGGACAGTTATCATTGTTGCACATCTATCAACTATTCAAAAAAGATGAGAGAACAGAGGGTAGGCATAATTCTTTTATGATTTTTTTTCGTCGTGTAGTGTTGATCAACATTATTCAATGGCCCCACCATCATTATGGTATATTTCAGTTTTTGGGGGTGTGGACCGCTCCATTAGAATGAGATTCAGGGGGTAGATATCTCACCCCCACAACAGAACATGGTGACCTCATTCCCATCTTTGTGGCACTTAGTACAAGCATAAGGACGTATCATTATGCCTGAATAATATTATATTATCATTGAAAACAAAAACAAAAAAATAGTAGTTAATTTACTATTTTATACAAATAGAATAAGCAGGACATTTTCCCAGCTACATACATAATATAAAAACCTTACTCTTCTAATTTTGTAAGTGGAAAATCTATTGGAATACACAAAAATTTGTCATTGGGAAAAAAATTGGACAATCGAGTGGAAATGACACAAGAATCAAATCACCATTAGGAATGCACCTTACTTTAGTTTTTTCCTTCAACGTATACCATAAGCGAGATTGTGGGAAAAAACAATTAGGGAAATGGAAAGTAAAACAAAAAAGTGAGAAAAACAAAACAGAGTGCAATTATGGGGAAAAACATAAGATGCACCCCTGAAATAAAATTAACCATAAATGATCAGGAGTGGGGAGAGAAACTTATGCATCATCACTTGTGTAGACTGAGGATTATCAAATCAAAATTCGTAAAGTTCTAAAACTTATTCTATTCAGAATACAACATAGCACTCTCCAAAAAAATGAAAAAAAAAAAAAAAAAAATTACATTTATTCCAGCATGCTTTCAAAAGCCAAGAGAAAATAACTTTCTTTAGAATGAGGAAAGCTTTCATAAGCAACCAAGAGAAACAAGCTCATCTAATGGCAAGGCTAAAAGACCTTCAATTAGGATATGGTCTACTAATTCAGATTCAGATTACACTCAAAGCATCACTTAAGAATACTTCACTTTTGCTAGTGGGATAGAAATTAGCAAAAACTGGTGAAAAAAAAAAATTCATAACAAAAGCATCTTTAAAAACATCTCTACCTGATACATCACAAATTCGATCAAGGCTTCACAGGACATATATGTCAAAAGGGGCACCAAAAAGGTGATCACTTAATTTGAAATCACTTCACTCAATAAAACAACCCACCACCTCCATAATCAATGGGTAAATGCAACTTCACTTAACTATCTGCAAGCATTTCACTGAATCCAATTTTGATGAGTGAATCACAGAAGATGATCGCATAGGACTTCTTTCGACAATTTCTGTTTACAATCGTACTAAAATCCCTAAAAATTATGAAGCCATAAATTGTTAGCAAATTTAAGAGAGAGTGGGGGACACAGTAAATGTCCACCAAAAACTAATGATCGCATTTGGTGGTGCTTGTGGAGGGAACAGAAGAGGAGATCATTCGATGGTGAGGAGACTCCTATTGGAGTGCTGAAATCATTGGGGGAGAGTGTAGAGGCCCTATTTGGTCCTTGTGTAGCTTTTGTGGGATGCATACCTTTTTTTGAACGCTTTCTAATATCATCTTACTTGTCAAAAATAAAATAAAAATAATAATAAAAAGAATACAATAACAAAGGTCAAAGCCAAGCCAAACAAAATACTGCTTACAGATATGCAAGAACATATGATCACAGTTATTACTACCTTAAGCTATACAACAGGATATAACATAGTACACATCAGAAGTCCTATTTCATTTCCAACAGGGAGATCTATGTTTAGAAAGCACAAGGACAATTTGATGTCAATTAAAAACAATAAACTAAAATTTGAAACCTAAAATACGCACTAACACATAGTGTGTAACATTTATAGTTCTTGTTAGATACAGATTGAACTTGAGGAATGTTGAACAAACAATTCTTTTTGGATCTTTTTCCCTTTTAGATAAAAGATTGAAACACCCCAGTTTCAATAGTGTGCAAATAACACCCTGGTATTCAAATCCCACCCCTATAGTATGTAAATTGAGCAAATGGGTACTTTTTGTCAAATAAATAATATCAGAAAGGCAAAAACACTAAAATACCCTCCACGTTTCTTATAACAAAAATAATAAAAAATATCTATAAGTGGAACATATTGGTAACGGCATCGTTTTATCACTTTTTTTCCCATCACTGTCACCATCACTTGGCAAAACACACAGAACCACCATCCTCCTCTGAAACCCTAAAAACCAAACCACCACCACTACCACCACCGTCCCAGCCCACCCTCTGAAACCCTAAAAACCAAACCACCACCACAGTCCCAGCACACCCATCATCATCAACGACAATAACTAAAGCAACCAAAACAATCGAATTGGTGTCTCTCTCCTCCTTTTTCATCCTAAACGATCAAATTGGTAATTGCTATGATGTACGGGTGTGTACAATTGCTATGATATAAATGTGTGTGTATATATATATATGATATAATTTATTTTTGATCGGTGATACACAATACCATTGCACAAGATGAATCTTTTGCATTAGAATAAAGCCAAAGATATGTCAAAGATTGCATCAATGGTGATTGGGGTTAGAGATGAAACAGAAAATAGGTGCTGAATCATTGAAGGAGTTAGTGCTCTGCTTTCCATCCTCATCTTCTTATCTCACCAAATCCGATCAACCCCATTGCGAGACAAAACAATGTCAAATTCTTTTGTGGGAAGAGCCAATCGCAACCGTTAACAATCTTTTGTATACACACACACTCACATATAGATACATTTATTTGTCTTATACAACAGCTCTGTAAACCCCTTGAGCTCTCCTCTCTCTCTCCCCCAAGCTTTCTCTCTATACAACTTAGTTTTCCAACTGAAAAGTGCGATTGGCGCCATCGTTATCTTGGGTAAGTCATGAATTTCTCTTTCTTGGATCTAAATGTGGAATTTTAGGGCTTTGGTGTTTTTTATGTTTTGCTTCAATTCAAATGCTTTTATGTGATTTCCATTTGTTTAGTTTTTGGATTCTGTGTTTGGTAGCTTTTGGATTCTCTGTTTTGGTTCAATTCAAATACTTTTGATATATATATATATATATCTATATCTATATATATATCTATATAGATAAACTTATCCTTACTACTTCCCAGCCCTAGATAATGAATGTTAAAGCCGATCAGATGATCGATTGTGGCACGCCTCAATACTTGACATAAAGAGAAGAAGAGAGAGAGAGAGAGAGAGAAATTACCTTGACTGGTACTGTATATCCATATAATGGTTTTTTTTTTCTTAAATTGAGAATAGAGGGGCAGTTTGGGAAGTTTAAAAGTGTAAAGTTGTATAAAAGAGGCTTTTTTTTTATCACGTGACCTGCACATGCCACTTTTTGATGTCAGGAGTCTTTATTTGCTCAATTTACATACTACAGGGGTGGGATTTGAACGCGAGGGGTGTTATTTGCACACTTTTGAAACTACAAGGGTGTTTTTTGCACTTCACCCTTTTTTTTGCACTTTATTAATAAATGCAATAGAAAAAAATCATATATATGCTCTAGTTTGAATTTAGATATTAAAAGGATGAATGTTTGACATTTCATATCAACAAACATTAGTTGTGTATTTCATTTCCCACTATGCTATTATTTTGCATAAATTTGTCATTTCATTCAATAATTAAAATGTATCTTGTGAAGTACAATTTTATCCCATACACTAAAAAAACAATGGTATTTGTTATTAAACACAAAATTCAACAACTAAGGATCTGTTGCTCCATAATTCAATGGAATTTATGGCAAGCAGATATTTAGTGGGAAGGTTCTGCCATGTTCAAGATGACTATAATAGAATCTCTTTAACTCATGAATTGACCCACACTCATTGTGTGAGTAAGTGAGGATAGCAAGCTTCACAGCTGCCTCTTGCAATTTAAAGCTGTTAACATACCAACCACACCTATTTTGACATTTATGAAATATTTTGTCAACCACATCTTGGGAAAAATTAGTATGCAGGTCTATAAGATCCCATAGTAGTACAGAAAGTATGTGCAATTTCTTTTATCCCATAAGCAATTTCATTCACAGATGAACAACTTTTATGTTCACACAATGATCTCATAAGGTCTCCAGCAACTTTTCTACAAGCACTAATATTTTCCTTATTCTACTTTTTGTAATTCATATAATCTTTTCAATGGCTTTCTATTTGGTAGAAATCACTGACGTAGGACCTATGCACATAACAGCCTCAAAATTGCCCAGGGAACCATAGCCAATTTGAAAAGGGATGTAAACCCCATTTTCAGTCTGAATCGCACTGACATCACATGTTAGGGATATGATAGCTGAACAAGCAAGTATCAGGTTTTTGTATATATAAAATTGTTTCAAAACAAACTGAAACTGAAGATGCAGTTCGTCATTACAATAATAAGTAACAGCAACTTAAACAATAACATAGCATAAATGTCACAAATTTAATAGAATTTAAGTAAAGAGATAAACTGTGCATCAGAATACATCGAATAAATGCTGCTCACCACCTTTTAGAGCTCAATCAAAATTCAAGATAAAAGTTTCTATTTAGAACATCCTCAAGCATATTTCCATATGAAGTACGATGAGTAAAATCATACTATATATTGATAAAAGAAGAGCTAATGCTTGTAAGGAGTTGTCTCCATGACTAATACAGACTCTTCTACACACTCTTAGGCATGTTTTTGACATACTATACATCTTAGATATGTCCATAATTTAAAAATGAAATTCGTAATTTCAAGCACATGGTTGACACTTCTTGAACATTCCTAGCTTGTGACCAATTAACCTTTAGCATAGAAAAAAAAATATGATACCTGTAAACAAGAATCTAATTAAAAATTCATATCAACTTTAGAGAACGTAATATCATTCCAAAAATAACAAAAATACATACATAGGAAAATTTTACTAAAAGAGTGGATCCGGGAGTAGGAAGTAATCTTCCGCTTGTGTTTCACATGCATGAGAGAAAATATAGTAAATGGCCATGATGCATATAGAAGAAACCATTTAATAGCAACTTATTTATTGTATCGTGTTATACAGGAAATAAATGAAGCTTTATATCTTCGTTATTCCACCAAAATAAAACAAGTAATCTCCATTTCTACACTATACTTCAGCTTTGAAACTTAATATAAATTTCACTTTTGTAGTGCCGAACAACAACAACAACATAATATAACACCCAAAAGTTATTATTAACAATCAATAAAAAATATGAAAGCAACACAATGCACTTTGCACAATCTTATTATAAAATGTAATATTTGTGGCTGTGGAAAGGTGCTCCTCAATATCAGGAGAAGCTGCAACAAGTTCAGAGAAGTCATGTCCTTTAGTAGGATTATGAGGATGCTACTTTCCCAGAGCATGAATTCCGTATTGTTTGATTGATCAGCATATAGCATGGTAATGCATCAAAAGAAGATTTTGCCCGGCAAAAAAAAGGGTAGAAGAAAGAAACATCAAAACCACCACCAGTAAATAAAGTAATAGCATACTAGTTAATACCTCTAGATGGCACCTTAAAAGGCTGTACCACTGTTTCTCTTGGTTCATGAGAAGGGCGCACTGGTTGGACTCCAAATGCTTGAGCATAAGTCTCATCGAATTCCTCAAACACTGCCTTCCGATAAGCGAAAAGAGTAGCCTTATTCTTAATAAAATCAATACTCGGATTTTCATCAACGGTCGGCACTACTGCCAACTGCTTTATAAAAGCAAGAGCCTCCCTTGGCCGAAAACTGTCTCTTGATTTTTTGATCTGGGTCACCGAGTATACACCTCCAGGCTCAAAATCAACCACATCAACAAAGAAGTACCCTTGAACATTTGTGGGCCGAAAATTATATGGGTTCCTGCAACAGCAAGCCAAAGCCAAACCACATCTCCGGCTCGCTTCATCAACTGCCTCTTCCACCGCCCTCATAAAAGTTCTTGAATTAGTCTGATGTGACTTCTCAGCAAAATTAGGATCAAATGGAATAAGCTCGGCCGGGTCAAACCATCCATAACTACTATCACCAAAGAAAGCAACTAATATATGACCTTCTCTCTTTGTTCGACGAACTGAAGGTGTTGCAAAGGCTTCATTATATATATGACCCGGCCACCATGGGTGGGATTTCACCTTCCCCCAAACCATATCACCTATTTCATTTTCATAACCCATCAGGGCATGCGACCCTGTTCTCGAGGCTTTACCACTCTCATTTGCGGCAAATTCATCAAACATTGAAAGCATTGAATCATACTGAGATACACTTGAATTCCTCACTTCTACCAGTCCCTTACCGACCCCCGATACTGAATGCTCCAACCCGCCATTGAAAACATCAAATTTATGGTCACTCACTCTATGAGTCACTTCTGCAAGCCCCTTCTCCCCACAAGTAACTCTATCTCCTTCAATCCTAGACCCGAAATGATCAATCCCACCATTCCGATCACGGAATTTATTGCCACTCCCCCTCGGTGTGGCGTCTTCATTTTTAATTTCACAAAACCTAAATTCCATTTCCTCATCAATCCCTCTACAATCAATCTCTGGAACCCTAGATTCACCAGATCTACTACTCTCCACGGCATCAGCATCTCCACCAGAAACACTAACATCACTCTCCTGAGCTGGATTCGCATGCTCGGCGGAAACCCTAAATCCCTCACACCCAGCAGAAACCAAGCTCGCCCTTACATCACCACCAACATCAGTCACCGTTTCAGAACTACAGCCCACAACGCCATGTGAAACCTTCATTTCTTCAGAGCCAACCATATCTACAAAAGCACCTCTATCACTACTGTAATCGGTGGTTTCAACAGAGCTGTCATCGACAACAGCATTGTCCTCGGAAACCCTAACTTCCGATTGAGACTCGTCTCCACTAACGTCAACTTTTCGATCTAATCCAAAATCGTTGCTGTTCATCACTGATATCATCGTACGAGCTAAAACTAATTCGGAACCCTAGAAAAATAATGGTCGAGGGAATGGATATAGATACGCATACCTTTAATCGAGGTCGAGGATGAAGAAGAACGAAAACGAAGCGCCACGAATGAAGAATTTTCCAGGAAAATGCGAGAACTCGTAAGAAAATTTAGCGTATTAAAACCCTAAGAAGGGGGAAGTGTTTTGTCGAAAGAAAGTGCCAATCGTTTCGAGATTATTGTGGAATTGGCATGGAACGCGGTAACGTACAGTTCTCACTTTCTGCATTTCGTATACTTACCAATAAGAATGCGCCACATCGCTCTATAAATGGTCAATCAGTCTTTTTGAATAAAAAGGAACTGTTGAAGGGGGTGCATTTGTTAAAGGTAGGCATATATATGGTTTTTGTTTAAAAATTGGAGGGAGAAATTTATATATGTATACATTTGTTAGGTAAATACGTTTACATACTCATAAATGTTCGAATTCTTCACTTTCATATTAAAGAAGAAATTATACCAGTTGAATTAATGATTCATTAATAATTGAAAGAAAAAAATTTAATAATAATTTTTTATTAATGATTTTTTAATATAAGTATTTTTTTTTTGTTTTGTAATAAGTGAACTTTTGTTTTGATGCTTGCATTAACACCACAAGCATTTTTCAGTTTATCCCATGTAATTTAGTTATTTGAAGTGATTAGTTGACACAAATTTAAAGTTAATTATTTTAAAATTATTTAAATGAAGTGGTTGCTTTATTAGTCGGGAGCCATTTTTTCTCATGCTTTCGACCTAAAGTTAATTTGAAATCAATTAATTTGTTTCTTAAATGAAAACTTGGTTATTTAAGTTGATTTTGAAATTCCACATTTTATTTTCCATTTTCCTGGCAAATAAGTTCCAAAATATTTTTAAGGGAGACTTCAATTTTGTTAAATGACATTTATTCATACAATTACTCTTACAAACACAAATTTACTACTGTACTTGTTAATAATCCAGTGAATCTTCGACTCTTTGTATCTATTAATCTAATTTCTAACTCTTCTTGCCCTGTAAATATATATATATATATATATATATATATATATATATATATATATAATTCTCATATATAGTTTATCTCAAATCAATCCATACTTTTATTTAAAAAAAACTTATATTCAAATTGGTGAATCAAATTTATACTATAATTCTTAAATAATTATAAACTGCCATGCATTAATTTAGGAGTACAACTTAGACCAATTGAAAGTACTCAATTGAGTCAACCCACCATAAGAACCGTTTAACTGTAACCCAACCTCTAACCGTTCTTAATTTATTTTTTTAGCTAGGTTGAATTCGAACTTGCAAATCAAACAAAAAATTCAGATTATCATTCAAATTGTCACGCATCTTATACCACACTGACTTTACGGAACTTGTAGATTACCTTTTTATGTTCTTGGAATACACATCATAAGATGATTTGACCAATGAATGAGAGTGAAAATGTTACATTCGCGATGTAAACTGACCGATACAAATCGCGTATCGACAGGCAAGTCATTCCTTCTTTCTCAAAATTTCTTTCATTCCTTCTTTCTCAAAATTTCTTTGCGCGCCAAAAACATTTTCACCCTCTTTAATTACATCCATCTACGGACCTCCCATTCTATAATCCGAGGAAGTACCGTTGGATTTATATGCATCTCTCCCTCATCAAGAAATTTAGAATTCGTTACCGCAGTCACATTTTCACCAACTGGAAGAACGTCTGAAGCAGCAACATTTTCATAACACTTGTCATCGCCCTCATAAACCAGACTAACCCTGCACTTTTTCAACCGCCAACTCTTGATCATTGCTCTTATTTCAATCTCCACTTCATCTCCGTGGTTCAACGGATGATAGCAACCCCCCAAACTATATTCAAGGCATCGAAGTGGTATGTAGGAGAGCCACATCTGATCTTCAAAACTTGCGTGATACAAATCACATCTTCGGCCATGAACTGATCCCAAAGAGCTATAGTCTTGATTGAAGCCTCGGCTAGTAAAAAGAACACACAGAATTAACCCTTGTATTATCCGACCTACAGGCTTTCGCACCAGAAAACGTGTAAAACGTCCTTCCCTCTGGTAGTTGCACCACCTCGGTAGCTCACTCCCGGGAAGAAAAATATTAAACTCACCTTGTTCTCGCAGTCCCTGCAATTTTTGTAGTATATCAAAATTCCAACATTTGTCCTTTAAAATAATAAGGCTTGGTTTCTTTCTAATATATACAGGAAAAACAAAGCAGAGTGGCGTACCTGATAATGGAGGAGATTTCTTCTAAAATTATATGTAAAATTGTACACTAATTTGGGACAACCGTAAAAAGTCATGAATGGTACTTTTGCTAGTTTTGATTCCATTGATATGCTTTGCAATGATGTGCAGTAGTTTGCATTCAATCTCAATAAATTTAATGGAAGCGCTGGAACTGATTCAAGCAGATTACATTGGTTTATAGAGAGGGACTTCAATTTCGGAAGACTAGTGATGGTAGTTGGTAGGTTAGAAAATTTGTTTCTTCCAAGATTCAAAATTTCCAAGAACACCAAACTACCAATTTCACTGGGCACATATGTTATATTGCAGTCTTTCAGAGATAATTCCCTGATGCTACTTGATAACTGTAATGACAAGACACTTGATTCAGGTGGCGATCTTTGAAAAAATGTTGGCCAAACTAATTTGGAGCAGCCGGATAGATTGAAATAAAGGAGATGCTTCAACATGAAAATGCTCAGGGGAACCTTCTCAAGATTCTGGCAATTCTTCATATTCAAGACAAGAAGATTTTTCAGACATCCAATAGATTGGTGAACCTCTACCAGCTTTGTACAATCATTTAGCAACAATTCCTCAAGACTGGTGAAACCCGTAAAGTCCGGAGTTTTGATCAATAAATAGGAATGACCGAGATTGAGGTATTTCAATCTGCACAAAACCTGTTAGCAACAGAAAGAGATGACAAATTTCCATGAATGTCATTATATATAGTTAAGTTTGAAGCAGATGATAAAAACAGTAGTATCATAGATTCATACCTTTGTTCCTTTCCAAACTTGTTTGAGGTGGCTATAGCTCAAGTCAATGGCAACCAGATTATCCATAATCAAGGTTGATGGTACATATTTTGAAGAAAATCCTTTCCAAGATAACCATACTAGTCTTCCAGATATATGTTTGTAGCTTCCACTTAGATGGACATTATTGAGATGAAGCAGTCTCAGTCTGTCCATCTTTGTAAATGCCTTGGCATTTAGTTTTACCTTCTCTGATTCCGGCAAGTTCAGGAATAAGCCTTGAATTGCTTTCGTCCCCTGATAATAATAAAAGCTGCCAATATAAGAATATATATAGATATATGTATGTTTTTGTGTGTAACATGGTATTGAAAATAGGTTCACATCCCAGATTGTGTTACTTTCATGATGTGTCATGTGCTATGGCATTTTTACAGTGACCCCCCACGTTGTCAAGATATGTAATTAATTCAGGCATTGGGTTCTTACTGTGTTATTTCTTAGTACATCGAGTACGTCTGCACGATACCACAATCTACTACGTTCGCCAGGCTCTTCAGGCGATTCTTGGCGGACGATTTCTCTAGCCATGTCTTGAATCAGATCATGCATCATTAGCCGGTTACGCTGATCAATTCTTACAAGACAAAGACAAGATAGAACACCAATTCCAGATTCTGGGAAGAAACCACAACCTTCTAGTATTTTGATTGAAAAATCTTGGTTCATTCCCACCAAAAAAAATGCGATGTGTAGGAATAAACCCTTCTGTTCATCATCAAGTGAATTGAAGCTCAACGCAAGTTTTCCCTGAACATCATGATGAGGAATCTTTTTCAATTTCTTCAATTCACTGCTCCATTCATGTACGGCTTTATCCGACAAAAAGGAACCTAAAATTTCAAGAACTAAAGGAAGCCCCTTAGCATAACTCACTACTTCCTTAGAGAGAATCTCATAGTCTTCTACAGGATGGTCTCTCCTAAAGGCATGCCAACTGAAGAGCTGGAGAGATTCCTCCTCATTCAACTCCTTAGGCATATACACTTCATCCATTCGAAGTGAACTTAATGAAGACAAATCTCTTGTTGTTACTATGATTCTACTTCCAGGACTTAACAGATCACGGTTTATGGCCAACGCCCTCATTTGGCTGATGTTATCCACGTCATCAAGAACAAGAAGAACCTTTCGACTCCATGCTCGCCGTTTTATCACCTCAATTCCATGATCTTCGCTTCTTATTCTTTGATTTCCATCCATTAGGAGATCACAGAGAAGCTTTTCTTGTAATTCAACAAGGCCATTGGGTTGCTTCGAAGTTTGTCCAATATTTGCAAGAAAGCTACTGCTTTCAAACTCATGATGACGATGTATCCGATTATACATAGCTTTAGCAATTGTAGTCTTACCTATTCCGCCAATACCCCAAATGGCAACAATCCTAACATCATCACTATTTGACCCCAACTTAAGAAACAAACTCAGTTTTTCAAGATGGTGTTGTATTCCAACTAGGCAGTCCGCAACACTTAGACATGTAGGATTTAATTTATCTGCAACTTCTCCAACAACAATCTCAATAAATGTCGACTCACACCTGCCATTTTTTTTTTTTTGTTATCCACCATTTAGGAGAGAAAAAAAATTCACAAAAATGAAACTAATGCTATGTTTGGGAGTATCGAATTAGCGTTTTGGAATTGGAACAATATTAGTTTGAAGTTTAACCTAAATTTCCTCCAATTCAAATTCCAAAGTGCTGATTTGATGATCCCAAACGCAATTTTTACATACAAAGATCTGAAATATCAAACTAAGTGATCAAACTTGTAATGTTTTAGATTGTTTTTTTGAAAAGAATAAAGAGAATTAAGTACCCATTGGCCACATTTTGCAGACCGTAACCGGACAAATTGGCAGCCTCGGCTAGAGCCAACCTCCAATTCCTCACCAACTCCAAGTTGAACTGCTTTTCGTGACTGGCAAATGCTTCAGTATAACAACCCCTCTGGGACCGAACGTCGAAAGGCTGGACATCATAGAAGATGGGAATAACAATCTGATTGAGTGTCCTCTTGCAATACATGATCTTCACCAGCTCCTCAAGGCACCATCTTGAGGAAGCGTAGTTCTCCGAGAATACGATAAGGGAAACCCTAGATTCCTCAATTGCTTTGAGCAATCTGGGACCAATTTCTTCTCCCCTTGTGAGTTTAGTGTCATCTCTGAATGTGTTAAAACCATGCCGATCCAAAGCGGCCAATAGGTGGCCCGTAAATTTCTTGCGAGTATCAACACCGCTGAAAGACAAGAAGACATCGTAAACACAGGAAGCTGCCATTGTCAAAGCTCAAACAGTTTGATCAAATGAAAGGAAAAGTTTGTGCGTGAGAGGAGCAGGGCATAACCTTGACCTATATAGATCAGAAAATGATTTCTTTTCTGTCTTTTTTTAACATTTTTGAATTAATGGAGTAACTAATCCTATAAAAAAAAATTAAAGTATGACAAATATGAGGAAGAATCATAGTTCCTGCACCTCGCGTGTGGCACAATATCAACTCCAAAAAAGTAGTTTGACAATGCATTAGTAATTTAGTACCTTATCTGAAAGCCGAAAGGGATATAATTGACACAAAACCTACCATTTGATATTACTAATATAAAATCATTGACCAACTCACATCTTTTACAGTCGGGCGAACACCAAATGATAAATTTTAATTTCCAATCTCATGAAGAAATGAATGAACCGTTACCTGCCTCATAAGTGAGAGTGACCCTTTGCAGGAAGGAGAATAATCAAAGAATGAACTTAGCATTGTATCAAAATTTACATTAGGCCCGAACTGGTGTGGGATTGAGAGTTGAAAACAACTTACAGTAAACTTGACTTGCAGGTGAGGACAATTCTGACTCAAATCACAAGTGCATCTTTTACTATTTTTCCTTCAGAAAAACAGAAACCCCCAAAAAAGTAAATAAAATCATTAAGCATCAATTAAACATATAAAAAGTCGTTAACAATCAATTATACTTTGTATGGTTGTACAATTCTAACGATTTTCAATTATGAAAAATAAAAACTGGTTCTCAAAATATTGAAACAAACCAAACAAAGCCCTAAAACTCTGTTTGGTTTCAGAGCTATTTGAAAATGTCTGTATTTCTTCAGAAAATTGTCAAACAAATGAAAAGTTTGTACTACTGAATTTTCCTCACCGATTCCAAGTCGAACCCCTTTTCGTGATTGGCAAATGCTTCTGCATAACACCACCTCTGCGAGCGAACGTCGGAGGGTTGGACGTCGTAGAAGATGGGAATAACAATCTGAGTGAGTTTCCTCTTGCAATTCATGATCTTCACAAGTTCATCAAGGCACCATCTTGAAGACGCGTAGTTTTCCGAGAATCCGATAATGGAAACCCTAGATTCCTCGGTTGCTTTAAGCAATCCGGGACCAATTTCTTCTCGTTTCTGTGAGTTTAGTGTCATCTCTGAAACGTGTAAAAATCATGCCTTGACGAGCTTGTGAAGATCATGGATTGCAGGAGGAGAAGAAATTAGTTGCCACGTCATCCCTTCATTTCTAATACTGGTTGTCTCTTTCTCTCTTCGAATTCGCAAAATCCAAAGGCAAAACAGAGCTCTGCTCTTGTTTTCATTTTAGGGTTCTGTTGGCTAGTCGAGACTTGGCCTGCACAGTGATCTTAATGGCCAATTGTATGCATCTCTCTCTAAAGCAACTGTTGTAGGCACTGGTTTTGGATGAAAACCGTGAACTTCCTTGAGGCATTATTGGTATTTTACTAGTATAATATATTATGCTCCCTTTGTCCCAATTGAGTCAAGTATGAGTCAAGGTTCTGAAAGTAATAGTAAATTATTTTGAGACATCGGAAAAGAAAAAAAAAACACCTGAATATTTTTTATTCTTTTCATCCCAAATTCAGTATAAATAATTAATAAATAATTAATTTCAGGAATATTTTTGAGGAATGCTAATTACAATCGTGCAAGCATTGTCATTTCACAGTCGCTGTTAGGATTGGTTAGTTTTAAATATATTAATTGCTTAAGTTTTATTTTAAGGAGACTGTACAAATATTACTTTTTTAGACAAACATGCCCTTTTAAACTATCTCACCTTTCTTCTTCTCTCTCCTTTTAATCTATCCATATAAAAATGTGTGCGTGTGTATATATATATATAATTACTAGTGCCATGTGAATGAATTCTGAAAAAGAAAAATATATATATATATATAGATAGTATAATCCATTCACAAGATGGATGGATTCTGAAAAAATAAATAAATAAATAAATAAAAGAGAGAGAGCTAGAAAAAAATCGTGAAAAGAATAAAGGGAAAGGTTAAAAAAAAACAAGAAAAGAATCCATGTAGAAGATGAATTCTGAGATCGATTCTTACAACTATCCTTGAGTGAATGAATTTTTTCCCCCCCTCTGTTTTTTTTTATCCCTATATATATATATATATGTTTCTTTTTGTTTTTATTTTTTATTTTTACAACTATCCTTGTTTAAATGGATTTTAAAAAAAAAAAAAAACAAATAATTCATTCACCAAGATAGTTGTAAAAAGAAATATATACGTGTAATTATTTTTTTCTCGTTCTCTTTTATTTTTTATTATTATTTTTTTCTTTTAAGATTTTGTTCTAGCTATTTTTTTTTTTTCTTGAAAATGAATTATCCTGTCTATAGTTTTTTTCCTTTTTCTGAATTCATTCACTAGTCATTCATTCAGAAATATCTTATTATTTACCGAAAGGGATATAATCTCTCAAGGTGGAGTGAGATACTTAGTATTTAACCACAATTGAAAAACTAAATGGTAAAAAAGACGTTTTCAAATCCTTCCAATATTTTTAGAATTCGTCCAAATTATGAAATTTTTGGTGAAATTTTCGTGAAATTCATCAATTTTAAAATTTTATGGGTTCCAAATTTATGAAGACCCAGTTTGAAATTGCTTCTTTAGTTTAAAAGTTTTTTTATTTAAAAAAAATTTATGTCTAGATGTATTTGGTAACCATTAGAAGTTTTAAATTTAGTTGAATAAAGCATTTGAATTTAGTTATAATTTGTAGTTTTTAAAACTGATTATGTTGAATATTTTAAGTAATTCTTTATCATTAAATAATTTTATTCTTTTTTATTTATTATAAAAATAATTAAATCCCGTTTTTTAAAAGTTGTTATTAAAGTTGCTATTATCAAATATGGTAACATCAGATATAATTATAAAATTTGCAATAAAAGTATTTAAAATAAATTAAACAATAATTTATTTGTAAAAAGTAATGTGTCACCAAATACTTAATATTTTATTTTACTGTTATTTAGATAAAAGTGTTATTTTATTCCAACAGAAACTCGAAAATCCTTTTCCTAATCCAATTCAAGCCGTTCCAAATCCCTTTCCTAATCCAATTCTAGCACTTCCAAACGTATAAAATCACTTTCCTTAAAGGTGTGGTTAGTTAGACCGAAATTCTTATGAAAAGTGAAGTGAAAAAAAAAAAATAATAAGTTTTCATATATTTGGTTAGCAGGAAATTTTTAATGAGAAAAAATTATTTTGTTAGTTTGGATAGAATAAAAAGAAAAAAAATAAAATAATTCTAGTTACCAAAAATACCCTTATAATTTTAAGTAGTAAAAAAATAAATATTATTAATACTTAATTATTTATTTTAACAAGGAAATGGTGAAATATGGATTAGAATAGTATGTGATATCCTCAATATATATAATTCAAATTACCCAAAAAATTATTTCAAATTATCTAATAAACTATTACTTTTATAAAAGAGTTTTCATAAAATTCAAATTACAAATTACCTAATAAAATTCAAATTACCTAAAAATTTATTCCAAATTAGGTAATAAAATTCAAATAACAAATTACATAATAAAATTAAAATTATCTAAAAATTTATTTCAAAATATAAATAAAAAAATATTTATTAATTGATATAAAAAGAGTTTTTAAAAGAGTTTCTATAAAACTCTAACACAAATTACCTATTTATCTACTTGAGTTTTTTAATAAAAGAAAATATAATTAGACAAGAATTATTAATATAAAAAAATATTTATTAATCGATATAAAAAATAAAATAATTTCTCTAAAACTCTACCATAAATTACATTTTATTATGAGTTTCTAATAAAATGAAATCTAATTAGACAAGGATATATATTTGTGGTACCCTTCGAATCCGAGATACAGGTTGATCAGGGCCAGGCCCAAACCCAAGGGATATCAAATAATTAATATGTTATAACGAACACAGAATACGAAGTGAAATATGAATAAATATTAAAAGCTGAAAGAAACTAAATATAAATCCTTTAAAAATTGAATACTAAAAAACTGACAATCCAAAACTCCATAAGTTTAACAACTCGGGAATCCATCTCTAGTGGACCCCTAATAAAAATCCAAACTGAATTAAAACAACTGAAAGAACGTCCTAATATAAACTCTGGAGAGAAATCCTACGTCGTCAGTAAAGTGAGTAGAAACCTCTGCTCAGCACGAACACGTTTAAGTCTGGAACTGTCGTGTACCTGAAAAATAGAAGTGGATCAGGCCCACGCGCAAGTTCTATACTATTATAATCCAAACAGAAACCCGATACGCATGTACACCCTAAACAATTCCACAATATCTAATAGTCTGTAGTCTGTAAATATAAATATAGTCACACGAAAGGACTCTCACTGGACTACAATCCGGTCTCAACCTGAATAAAGGTAACATGCTAAAACGCACACGAAACGGGCATGTGTACCTAAACCTAAACAGGGTACACCTCCAACCATCATATCTAGCTATGCATCCCAATGCATATACGCTCCCTAACTATTGATCCTGAGACTCAAGCTTATATCGAGGTACCATAACAATATATTTAAAATCCATCATGTATCATGGTAGTACCGCTCAACTAGTCGTTGCCATGACACTACAATCAATTGGACTTAACTTTTACTTAATCAATACTAACAGGCATAGTGTAGGCATTAATAAACAAAATCAGTTATATACATAAACATGTTCAATTTTATATCCATCACTGATACTAACAGTCATAACGTAAGCATCAAGAAACATAGTCACAGTATATATACAAACCTACTCAGTTTAGGTTGTTCCATAAAATCTGATATAATGATAGGATTATTTCAAATTCTCATTCAACTCTCTACAGTCCATATTACAGACATTTAAAGTAAACATCAACAAAGTCCATTCCTCCAACAGTTGATACTAATAGTATTAGTGCAAGCATCAAGACAGAATTACAGTATGTATATATACATGCTCAATTTTGATTGTTTCACAAAACCAGTTAATGCTAAATTTAAAGCTTAGCATCGTCAACACTAACACATCGTACACATGTATAATTCAGATACATGATCATGGTATATAGTGAAACATGTTACAATTATATCATTCGTATCAGAAAATTACTAATTCAAAAAGAGTTAACATTACTAGCTTTACAGATTTAAACACAGTGTAACTTCCCGATTAAATCCCTACTTTCCAAGCTTTTCTAAGCAAGTAGACTTAATTAACACCACGTCTGAAGCTTTAATCTATCCATGTACATTAATTAGACCTTCCATATTCAACCCTGCACTCAACTGCAAGCTCCAGAATCAACCACTGCATGTAAAACTGACTGGAGAACGAAGAAAAATAAAAAATCACCAAAGAAGACGTCTCCCAAAATGTGGAGCCACCTCCTTTAGACCTTGGAGCCGGCTCCCACACTTGGGAGCCGCCTCCACATCAAAGGGAGCCGGCTCTCTCCAAGGGAGAGCCGGTTTTCTCCCTCTCTGCTTCGTCTTCTCTCCTTCTGATGACTTCTGCAGCCTTCAAACCTCACTGCCATGGCTTCCAGACACTGTAACCCAATCCCAGTATGTTCCCCATCCAGGTTTAAGTCATTATTACATTCCATACATAGGTTTAAACAGTGAAAAATGCAATTACAGTTCACGTTTTAACAAGTTTACAAGCATACAACACATACAGATAGGTTTCAGTTTTAGCACAAACAGAAAACGTTTTAATTGATTAAATCAATCCTAAAATTATTTAGGAATGCAAAGAACACGAAGCCTAAGGGAGAGAATAAGGATAGAACTTGCCTTACACCGACGTCCGTCTAAATTCTCCGATGAATCCTTTGCTTGTCTCTCTGTTTCTTCCCAGCCGTCTCCAATTCCTTCAGCCCTTACTATAACGTAATAATTTTATAAAACCCTAGTCAGAATATTACTCGTATATTTATAGGCCACTAACCTTAAGTTCAATTAAATCCTAAACATGACCTACGCGGCCCAAAGAACAATCTAGGTTAAAACTTATGTCGGCTACTTATATGTATATTATATATTCAACCAACCCTATAGTCACGTTAAAACTAAATAAATTTAATTACATCACGTCAATTTACAACAATTTAAATTAAAACAATTAATTAATTAAATAACAATTAAAACAAAACAATTAAATAGTTAACTATCAACTAAATCAATAATCAAGTAAACTGACACATAATTCAAATAATCACAATTAGGTCAAATAATGCAACCAAGCAAGTAATTAAACAATTAACCATTAAAAAAATTGCAATTAAACAATTAATGAAATACCCGAACTATCTTTTGTAAAATTAGGGGTATTACAATATTTAAAGTAAATAAAATAATTTCTATAAAACTCTACCATAAATTACCTCTGTATTTACCTATTTATTATGAATATATTTAAAGAAAATAAAATAATTTCTGTAAAACTCTACCACAAATTACCTATTTTATTTCATTTAAAACTCTATCACATATAAACTGTATTTATCTATTCATTATGAGTTTTTTAATAAAAGGAAATCTAATTAGATAAGCATATATTTAAAGAAAATAAAATAATTTTTTAAAGGAGTTTCTATAAAACTCTAACACAAATTACCTATTTATCAATTTATTACGAGATTTTAATAAAAAAAATATAAGTAGATAACAATTATTAATATAAAAATTATTTATTAATTGAAAGAACAAATAAAATAATTTATATAAAACTCTAACACAAATTACCTTTTATTTTGAGTTTTTTAATAAAAGAAAATCTAATTAGATAAGGATATATTTAAAGAAAATAAAATAATTTATATAAAACTCTAACACAAATTACCTATTTATCTATTTATTATGAGTTTTTTTAATGAAAGGAAATCTAATTAGGCAAGAATTATTAATATAAAAAATATTTATTAATTGATATAAAAAAAGATTTTAAAAGATTTTCTATAAAATTCTAATAAAAATTACCTATTTATTAATTTTTTATGAGCTTTTTAATAAAAGAAAATCTAATTAGACAAGAATTATTAATATAAAAAAATATTTATTAATTCATATAAAAAATAAATAATTTTTCTAAAACTCTAACACAAATTAACTTTTATTATGAGTTTTTTAATAAAAGAAAATCTAATTACAGAATAAATATTAATATTAAAAAAATATTTATTAATTGATATTAAAAGAGTTTTTAAAAGAGTTTCTATAAAACTCTAACACATATTACCTATTTATCTATTTATTATGAGTTTTTTTAATAAAAGAAAATCTAATTAAAAAAGAATATATTTAAAGAAAATAAAATAATTTGTATAAAATTTACCACAAATTAGTTATTTTATTTTCTATAAAACTTTATCAAGTTATCTATTTATTATGAGTTTTATAATAAAATAAAATCTAATTAGACATAAATATATTTAAATAAAATAAAATAATTTTTATAAAATTCTACCACAAATTAGCTATTTTATTTTTTATAAAACTCTATTACATATAAACTGCATTTACCTATTTATTTTAAATATATTTAAAATAAATAAAATAATTTCTATAATACTCTACCACAAATTTTTTACTTTATTTTATTTAAAACTTTATCACATATAATCTTTATTTATCTGTTTATTATGAATTTTAATAAAAAGAAATCTAATTAGATAATGATATATTTAAAGAAAATAAAATAATTTTTTAAAAGAGTTTCTATAGAACTTTAACACAAGTTACATATTTATCTATTTATTATGAGTTTTGTAATAAAAGAAAATTTAATTAGACAAGAATTATTGATATAAAAAATAAAATAATTTCCCTAAAATTGTTGAACAAATTACTGAGTTTTTTATAATTAGACAAGGATATATATATTTAAAGAAGGCAAACTCTAACACAAATTAGGTTCTAACCAAACCTTCAAAAAGTTGAAATTTCTTTTCCTTTTTAGTAACTTGAGGCTAACCAATCGGACCTATAAAATCCTCTCATTCCAAACACAAGATAGCAGCAAGAAACAATCTCACACACTGGCGGTTTTTCATAATGGATCTGCCTGACTCCATCATCATGGACATTTCTTTTCGGCTTCCAATCAGGACCCTCTTACAGTCCAGGTGTGTTGGTTCAACTTACTCTTAGACCCTTATTTCAACAGTGTTCGTCTCGCAACATCACCCTTCATCGATATTGTGTGCCCATCGCGTAATGGTTTTTCATTGGTTGAACTACAGGACCATGTCCGTAACTACGACACTCATCTACGTCACGGACCGTTGTGGTTCGGAAAACTTCAACCGGCAAAGTCGTCCGATTTAAAACTAGGATTGTTGGGTTCTTGCAATGGTTTACTCTGTTTGTCGGATTACTACTTTTTACCATGTAAACATACTCAACCCAATTCCGGGAGAATATGTTGCCCTTCCAAAACCCAAAACCGACAAAGAGAGAGATTTGTGGCTTATGGGTTTGGGTGGAGTTCGGCCACTGGCCACTACAAAGTCGTGATTGTATATAAAATGGTGGAGGTTTTTAGTCTTGCATCTGGTGTATGGAGAAATCTGGGAGATGCCCCGTTTGCCCAGTACTCACTTCTTGTTGGGGTTTGTTTGAACGGGGCTATTCATTGGGCTACTGCGAAGCTGTCGAGGACGAACAATTTGCAACTCGCGGGCATCGGCTTGATATATGGTCAATGAAAGTTTATGGAGTTGCTACGTCTTGGAGTAAAGATTGCGTTTTGAAAACCACAACTCTGTTGGATATGGGGATCCCAGGTTCCTCACTTCGACTGATCACAATTTGGAACAATGGACAGATCTTGATGTCGAGTAATGCTGGTACTCTGGTTTCTTATAATCGGAAACGAAGGAAATTTACTAGGCTCGAGGTTATTGGTATTGGATTAGGGAAATTAGCAGTTAGTTTTGTCCCAAGCTTTCAGTCACTCAAGGACATTCCCCTGACAGAATGTTTGAGGATTTTTAAGCTCAATTCAAATTAGTTACTATCATAAATACATTATTATTTATTTATTTTTGTTGAGAAAATAATGTCAAAATTTTTGTTTTCCTTCTGACCAAACAGAAAATGTGAGTTCCAAAAAAAAAAAATAATTTCAGCCAAAGGAAAAGTGAAAATTTTAGATATTGTGCAAATTTTATAGGTCATTCTTAATATTTCTTTTCTTATTATTATTTTTAACACGTAACAGATCTTTGCAAATTCATTCAATCCAATAATGTTCGAATCATACAGAAGGAAAATAAAAAATAAAAAAAATACAAACTCCAAATAAAAAAACACAGTACTGACAGCCTCGTGCAATTACATAGCTGAAATTTATGTATACAACCAGAAACCCAATAGGTTCCTTCAGGCCAAACAGAACTCAGATAATCTTATTTCCATCCTGAAAAAAAACTGGGTTAAAAAAAATTTAAGAAAAAAATGAATTAATGAGACCAAATTCTAGCAAACACTATGTATTTTGATTTGTGATTTCTCAGGCGTCATCGGGTTTTTCGGTTGGCAGGGGTTCCGGCAAGCCAACCCCACATACCGCCTGAGCTCTGTTTTTGTTTTGCATTCATGGCAGCTTGTTCGGAAGCTGCCTTTTGTCGCTGGAGGAGTTCGAGTTCTTTTTGTAAGGTCTCCTAATAAACATTAACCAGTACCTAATAAGCATTAACAATAAAAAGTTAAGCCATCATGGCTCTGATACCAAATAATAGATGGGAAATTTGATTATCAGATTTACGAGGTTATTCATCAAATATTGAGGTATAGCCAAGTTTGTAAAATCAACAACAATACTGACCCAACCATTGCTAAATTTGTCGTTGCTGGTTTTACAGGCATCCTTAAAGGATGGTGGGATAATGTTCTCACCGACATTCAGAAAGCTGAAATCTTTTCTGCTACCAAGATAGTTAAAGATGAAGCTACCCAACAACCCGGACCTGCTCCGGATGCGGTTTACACCCTCATCACCACTATTATCCAACATTTTGTTGGCCCCGAAGGCGCTAATAGTGAACGGAGTCGTGAACTTCTACAGAATCTAAGATGTCCATCTTTAACTCATTTCCGGTGGTACAAAGATGTATTCTTGGCAAAGGTTCTCCAACTTAATGATGCAAATCATGAACACTGGAAAGCCAAATTTGTAGATGGTTTACCAACCTTCTTTGCTGAAAGAATCAGGAAAAAGCTTAGAGATATGAATAATGATATCTCTATCCCTTACAGAAACTATACTTATGGTGGATTAGTCAACATTGTAATCCAGGAAGGTCTAGCTCTCTGTAATGATCTGAAGTTACAATCCTAGTTAACAGCACAAAGATTAACTGGTAGGAAAGAAGTAGGTGAATTTTGTGATCAATTTGCCTACCAGACTCCCTTATCTTATCCTAAACCTAGGAAAAGAAATAAGGTTGAAAAACCTTATAAAAGGAAGTATTCCAAAAGAAAGAATTATTCAAAGGAAAAGGATAATTCTAGACAGTATACTAAGCCTAAAAGGAAATATATTCCTAAAGCAAAGGGTAAAGGAAAGCCCAAAGCTGAGGCTAAATGTTTCAAATGTGGACGTATAGGCCACTATGCAAACAAGTGCAGAACTAAGGAGAAACTCAGTAGTCTTCACATAGAAGATGAACTGAGACTTCAATTAAGTAAATTGTTACTTAATACTAGTTCTTCTGAATCAGAATCATCAGCTGATTATGGGGATGTTGTTATGGAATTACAGTCTTCTTCTTCCTCTGAAGCAGAAATTGGAAATCCTAGATGTTCCTGTAATCCTTCTCATGATGATTATTATAAGGCAATTGTTGAGATGAATGGGTTAAGCTTAAATGTTTTGACTTCGACTCAACAATCCTTATTGGATCTTATAGATCATATCCAGGATCCTCAAATCAAGATGAAAGTCTTTGAAATAGGTTCTGCTCTGGCACGATCTAATGAGGATACGGATAATCCAGATTTTCTGAGAGCAGAAAATCATTACAGCATGAAAGAAGTTCTAAGCAGATTAGAACACCAAGGACAAAATTCTCGTCCTGCTAATCTCCCTGATCTCAAGATGGAGATTAATCTTTTAAAAGAAGAAATTCGCCAGTTAAAGTCTCGTCAACATAAGATGGAACTGGAAATTAATCTTTTAAAAGCAACATCTATAACTGAACCTTCATCATCCCAGATTGAAGTCCCTCAAACCGAAAGCACAAATTATCTTCAACTCTTGAATCAAGTTACTTACCAAAAATGGTATATCTCTATCAATTTGGTAATTAATCAAGAGTACACTATCACTAATGCTATTGCCTTAGTTGATAGTGGTGCAGATATGAACTGTATCCAGGAAGGATTGGTTCCTACTCAATATTTTGAGAAAACCACTCAAGGTCTTACCAGTGCAAGTGGTGGTAAGATGCAGATTAAGTATAAACTTAATCATGTTTTCATTTGTAAAGAAGGTATTTGTTTACCATCTACTTTCTTACTCATCAGGAATATGGCACAACAAGTTATTTTAGGCACCCCCTTTTAAGCTTTAATCATGCCAATTGAGAAAATTGATTCTCATGGAATATGCTCTAATTTACATGGTCAGTCAATCACTTTTCAGTTTTTGACCCCACCAGTAAACAAGCATATCAATGCTCTTAAAGATAATATTATCTTTAAGGAAAATCAACTGAATTATTTGCAAAAGGAGGTATCATCCTTAACAATTAATCAAAGATTGGTACAACCCACTAAGCAACAGAAAATTGAGTCAATACGACAAAACTTTCTAAAGGAAATCTGTAGTGAGATTCCTAATGCTTTTTGGGCAAGAAAGAAGCATATTGTTTCTTTACCCTATGAAAAGGGATTTACCGATCTCATGATTCCTTCTAAAGCTAGTCCCAGTCACACGAAAGCTGACTACTTGGAATTATGCAAAACTGAAATCAGCTCTTTAATGGCAAAGAAGCTTGTCACTAATAGCTACTCCCCCTGGAGTTGCAGAGCTTTTTATGTCAATAAAAATGCTAAAAAAGAACGAGGAATTCCTCGATTGGTTATTGATTATCGACCACTTAATCTAGCTTTGAGTTGAATCCGATACCCAATTCCCAACATCAAAGATCTTTTAGATAGGTTACAATCTGCTGTAATCTTTTCTAAATTTGATCTTAAATCTGGATATTACCAGGTACAGATAGCAGAAGAGGACAGGTACAAAACAGCTTTTTGCGTACCTTTTGGACAGTACAAATGGACAGTAATGCCATTTGGATTAAAAAATGCCCCTTCAGAATTTCAACATATTTTGAATGACATATTTAATCCTTTTACTGAATTTTCTATTGTTTATATTGATGATATTCTTATATTTTCAAAATCAATCGATCAGCATTATAAACACTTGAAAATTTTCAAAGATGTTATTTACCGCAGTGGTTTAGTAGTTTCTGCTCCTAAACTAAAACTGTTTTTAACTAAGGTCAGATTTCTTGGTCATGAAATTTGTGATGGAAAAATTAGACCTATTAATTGCAGTATTGAGTTTGCTTCTAAATTTCCAGATGAAATTAAGGATAAAACTCAGCTTCAAAGGTTTCTGGGTAGTTTGAATTATATTCGAAATCACTACAGAGATCTTGCACAGGATATAGCAATTTTGTACAACAGGTTAAGGAAATCTCCTTCCCCATGGACTTTGGAACACACCAAGGCCGTCCAGAAGATTAAACTCAGAGCCAAACAAATTCCTTGCTTAGCTCTAGCCAATTCTTCATGGTTCAAAATTGTGGAAACAGATGCATCCAATATTGGATATGGTGGCATTCTTAAACAGAAGAATCCAAATACAGGAACCGAAGAGCTTGTTCGCTTCACTTCAGGAACTTGGAAAAATACACAATTAAATTATTCAACCATCAAAAAGGAAATTCTTTCTTTGGTTAAATGCATTTATAAATTCCAAGATGATTTAATCAATCAGAAATTCTTGTTACGCATTGATTGTAGTGCTGCTAAACAAGTACTGAAAAAAGATGTAAAGAATTTGGTTTCCAAACAGATATTTGCTGGTTGGCAAGCTGATTTATCTGCTTTTGATTTTTCTATTGAATATATTAAAGGCAGTTCTAATTCTTTACCTGATTTTCTAACTCGTGAATTTTTGCAGGGTTCATGAATCAGCCCCCCCATGGGCAGGGCCGGGGTAATACTCCAAAGGCTAGTGGCAAAAACAAGGCTAAGGCCAAAGTGGTTATACCACTAAATGATGATCAATTTTCATATTTGGATCATGTTGCTGATCTGCTCAACACACCTTCTAAAGGAAGCAGCAGTACACAACAGAAACAACAGAAACCAACCATGAAAGAGGTTCTTGAACAAGAGACTCCATAGATACCTAATCAAAGGTATATTCAGACAGTATTGGTACTGGATTCTCAGGATGAGCAATGGATGCCAGATCCCTGGGAAGTTAAATCCAGATATTTCCAAACTCAACAATATGCTGCACCGGATGGTCGCCATAGATATATCTATGAAGCCATTCTTACTGAAACTTCCTCTGTGGAGATCAACCACACGAAGCAATTTCCGAATTCCAAAGATAGTCCTCTTACTTATAGTAAAGCTATCTTTAAGAGGCTTATACGGCCTAGTAACTGGGGATTAAATCCTA